GCTTTTAAGGAAAACATTATACCACTAAGACATGGGCCTGTTTTGTTGTTGTCTGTTATCGGAAATATTGGTTATGTTGGAAGAGCGTTCGCCAACCAGTAAGGCACATGCTTGTCCAGATGCGTCTTGGGGCTCAGTCTAGATGTATATTTTCGCATAATGGTTGAGGAATATTGCGTCAGTTTTCTATGCTACAGAATACTGCATACGTTTTGGGGCTCCGACCAGAGCACCCCTAAAGACAGGTTAGGCGGGGTGTTAAAAGCTACCAAAACTGACATCGACATTGCCTGAGTCTGGAACAAATCGCTCTTTTGCGAGGTCTTGGTTTCGTGTTTTAGGCAGCGGAGCAGGGGAATATGAATCAGTGTTCTCCACAGCAACTGAAGCCATTATGGTAAAGCAGTATGAGAGAGAGAGAGAGAGGACTGCTTTATTTTGAAAATAACTTTCAAAACTTTCAGCAAAAACGGTTCTCCAGTACACAGTGATTACCATAGAGATTAACAGGTTTTTGGACAGACAGGTGGACATGATTATATATGAAGAAAAAAGGACTTTAAGGTGCAAGATCGAGTATGCAACTTTACGTCGGCATGTTCAAGATGATTCCCTGTTGGGTAGCCTTAGAAGTTTAAAACGAAAAGTCCAGACCACCGCATCTAGCATATTTAAAGCGAAGTCGACGATAGGCCTTATTTATGGGTATTTCGTAAACTAGTTAGCTGGGAAATTTTACACGTAAGTCCAAGAGGTCAGTGAGTCAAATCCATCCCACTGAAGATTGTCTTTGTTTGAATGCGTTGCCTATTTTGAGAAGGCGAATGAAGCAGAACTTCGTAGCACCATTTTTGTCAGGGCCCCCTTAGTATATATGCCTGGTCTCTATGTCAATGCCTGCGAAGGCTCTGCGTTGAGACCCAAGACACGACGGTAAACGCCCCTCCTAAGATAAGTGCCATCAGCTTTACGTGGCCCCCATTCAGATGCATGCATTTGTTTTCTATTTTCCACAACCTGTCTTAAAAATATCCACTTACTAGAATGTACAAATCATGTTTTACCAGGCGTAATGTTTGATATACAGTCTTCTATTTATGAATAGTCCGACTTTTACTTTGACAGTAAGTCAGACGCAAGGTCGGTTCACTTTGAGAGGCAGGAGGAATGGAATATCGATGAAGTGGCACAGTTATCAGTCGATCGCCATAGCTCAGATGGGTTTCAGATTTTGGATCCCTCAATATTACGGCTTTTCTGGCCGTGTGAGGCCTCTACCTCCCATAGTCTGCTATCATGGAAATAAAAACTGATCGATTTGTAACTTTAAGCGGAATTCTGACATACACAAGACTCATAGATTCCGTAGTCATTAAAATCCAAGGGTACCTGATGTTGGGTTGGAAGACTCCGAATAACTGATATCGAAATGACGGAAATGTTTCCATTTTAACAAGGAACTTCATTTTTCCTACCTCAGGTACTCCTGACAGATAAACAGCCTACGATGTACGTAGAGGACCGAGTCTACCAGGAAAGCGAGGCCAACCACTCGGAGGTCGCCGATGACGTTCCCGCCATTTCTTATCTCCTTAATGAGACAATGCAAATACATGGAATCCCCTTCGTCAGGCCAAGTCAGGTAGAAGGAATTTCATGACTAATTATCTGAATAACGTCGCATTTCTTAGTAAACAAGCAGACATGAGTAGGCCTTAGAATCTCTGCTATGGGTCATTGTCAAATCATCAAGTAAATGAGGTTCCGTGGACGCGATTTTAAACAAATACTACTTCCCCCACTGTCGAGGATCGCGTGGGTGGAGCAGCCAACACAACTTTTATTTTCCTCAAAATCTTGGGGCATTTGTTTTTAAAGGGTTAACCCGTAGTACATGTCCAGAGCCAACTGAAAATTGGTCACATGGAATTTCCAGAAGAGTCCTGTTAGGAAGGAAGCCCGCGTCACGTAGTCGTATTGCTCAGAGCGTTGGTCTGATTGCGCCACGCAATGTGGCCTTGTGTTTTACTTTAGGGCTTCAATTTTCAATAACGGCCTATAGTGCCCTATTAGTAGACTATTCGGAAAACAATGCCAGGAATTTTCGAACAAATTCTAACAGGAAAATTGCATACAATTTAAGCATCATCTAAGTAAGGAGGCACGTGGGATAGTACTGGATTAGCTTCGGCTCCTAAACTATGCGAACGATCCTATCCGTGGCAACATCAATGAATATTTAAACTTGACCGCTAAGAAGCAAACTGCTCAAAACACTTTCACCCATCAGTATGTGGAGCAGCGATTCACTGAAACGAATGTATAAATTGTTCCTTGCTCACTCACTACTTCAGGAGGATTGGACTATACCTTGGAAGTCGTCAAAGTTAGGCTGATTATCATTGACCTTCCGCTATCATCTTTAGAAGTCAGTAAGACAGGAGCATTCGCTCTAAGCAGTTTGGCGTTCCTAGATCAACTCTTTTGCTCCGTTCGACAAACAGTCTTTACTGTTAACTACCAAAGGAGAGAATTAAGCGAACGTTGCTCACAGCGGTCTGGCCTGACTGCTGAACAGAACAAGGACTTCCAGTTTAGAGCCAGAGATATGGTTTTATATCCTCAACCGTTCGCACAGCGGGGATTAATAAATACTCGAAAATTTTCGTCTATAAAATCATGGAAGACTTGAGTGGCCATTTCTAACTTACCTATCACTGGGGGTTCTGGACCGATTACTAATTGACATGATTACTAATTGACATGCAAAATGGAACCTTCCCATTCCTACCTAAAATAGACCAGACTAGTAAGCGTTAATCTAAAGTGTTCAGCGACAGGATGCGAACCTGTGACTGAATTGTTATACCAGCTTAATTTGACTTCGAACATCGTATTTTCCTGACCCAGATTTTGGTTATGGATAGAAGATGGATGCAAGTCAATCGAAAATAGTTACTCGAGTCTCCCTAGTCTTTGTCTGGAAGGCTCCTCCAGGATTGAAAACCCTTAATACTATTGTGCTTCTCTATTCTACACGTCAACATAGTCACGTATATTACAGTATTAGGTCACGAGTAGGATACGTAGAGATTTTACACGCCGTGTCCATACATTTTGCAGGAAAATCAGATGGGACTGCCGCCCTCCCCGACAAAAGTTCCCAACCAATCAAGTGGCAGTAACAGTAGTTGTCTCTGGCCCGAGTCCGAGTCTCCCACCTCACCACTCTCAGCTACAGCTCACCCACCACCCGCCGTCTACTTTAATCCCCCTACTCGGCTGGCAACCAACTTCTGCTACACAAGCCACGCCCAGTTTCACAGTCTCGGTATTTATGGCACTTCCGGCGCAGGTGATTGGTGTTTGTCACCAACACTGCGTGGGCCAACGACGTCAGACTCACTTCAGTCGGAACTGGAATCATCAGAATCCAGGGAGAGACCTCAGGAGCCCAACCTCCATCTTCTCTCCCACGCCGGTGCCTGGACAACCCTCCCCCCAGTCTGGCCTTGCCGGTTCACAGAAGATGGTGGTGGGGACGCCTTCCGGCTCGGGTCTGATGATGACGGTGGGTATCAGGCGGCCCTCTTGGAGGCCCCGCGTCCAAACTACAGCCTGCTTCTCTGCCATCATCAGCCGCGAGAAGAACAGTATGAGGCCGCGCAACAGCTCCACATTGGTCAGCCGAATGAAATGCCAGTGCAGCATTCCATCCAGGGACCGATGGGTTATCCATACGCCCCAGTCACCTCTGCACTGCTGCCTCCGTACACCCCGTCCTCCGAACTCACACCCGTAACAATGATTGAAGAAGTAGAACCAAATAGTAGACACCACCAGGCAACAGAGATCCTGACAACAAGGTCACCTTCAGAGCAACTTGACACAACCACTACCGCAACAACAACAAGAGGAGGTCTTTCGTACAATCCGGCGACGCTTTTGGCAAGCTACCGCGAGCAAACGCATTGTCACCAGCAGCAACACAACCACACTCCTACCTTCCTACACGTCTATGAGACGCAACATGCACGGAGGGGACGCATCGATTCTCATAATCAAGAGCAACAAGGAGACATGCGGTTGGGTCATTGTGGGCCTCCGAACCCCATTTCCGGACTGTCTGTGGTCCCAGTGTCCTCCGACTGTGCGTCTTTGACAGAAAAGTCAGAATCAGGCCTGGAATTCGGCTTTTATCCGTCTAATTCGAGTGGTGAGTACACAGTGAACTTGTAGACTTTAATTATATAGAATGCACTCCTGCCAGGCAGTTCACCTTGGAGTAGAATATTTTGGCCTGATCAAGCGTCTGACAGATTCATCCTCAATTACAATGAAGGTCAACGGACTAAGGGTTTAATTAGCGCCTGGGTCTTTCGGTCTTTGTTTCCGTTTTCAGGGTTTTCGCTGGTGTCCATCGACCAGTGGCCACTAATATCGAAAGTTGTCTTGCTGTGGTCTTGCATTTGAGATTGTAGGTTATGACACGCGTGGTTAGTCCAGCAGCGGGCAATAAATGATGTTGGTAGGATATGAATATATACATCCCCAACACCTTTGTGCAAGACAACCTCTAATACCAAAATGATGGTAAAAGTGATTCTACGATTGAAGTCTCGAAAGCCCACCAGTCACTCCGTTTGCAGATCAATTACGTGGTCTTTCCCCGAAAATGGGCGTGCGGCGGCTCATTGGCTATTTCTTATACTTATTACCAAGACGCGAGTATGATAATAATAATTTCAACCGCATGGCTTTAAAAGGTCCTAACAGTATCAGATTTGGTTGATCCAGACGTCGACGTAGGTTAGGCGGGTAAATTTGACCCAAATGTAATTAAACTCGTGTTGTCCGGCGGGGCCTCCTAGCTCAGATAGCTAGAGCGTTGGCTGTACTAAAGCCTTCCCCTTGCTGTCATGGGTTCGAATCCCACCGAGACACCGAGTTTTTCACAGTTGGGTCAAAATGAAAAATCCCTTCTTCCGCCATCTCCATAAGAGTGGTGGTCTTGAGCCAACGTACTGATGGGAGGACGTATATATCCATATCCGATCATAGTTGTTAATTTGTTGGTTTCTTATTTCGCTCAGTAGGAAACTGCACCAGCTAGTAGTAAACGGTACCTTGGCACACTGGCCGTGTAAGAGCCAGTGACATGAATAAGCATTCACACCAGTTAACTTGGGCCACTAAATGAGCACAATATTATGACAGCCGTCAAGGCAGCTACTCCCGTTCCAGATCCCTCAAGGGACCGTCGCCATGATCCAGTCAATATCAGTCAACAGCCTGCTGCCGGATGACGCGTCACCGCCACTATTGACGTCAGGGCTAAACTTTCCCTGTTTGTGCTGCATCGGATACAGGTCTGTACAGACCACCTGACTGAACTTTCGACTGGCAAATAGTCTTATTATGGGCTCGGATACAGGCTGTTCTGTCAGTCTCGTTTTCAGGACTTCTGAAATTCAACCACCAACGGTTAATAAAACAGAATGGTGACTTTCATATGTGGGAATAACTCGGTCTTTTCTTTTCTTCAAACTTTTGCCCGAATAAGCGAATGGATCAATTAACAGGTGGCCTGGTTATCCGATTTCCTTTCTATACATCCAGGAGATAGCCGGTAAATGTTCGGTCGGATCTCCGTTTCATGCCTATTTTGAGTAAAACGGAGGGAATCATTTAAATTGGCACCAACGGGTAGGAGTCTTCTGAGCCGCAAATGATGCCGGAACCGAAGGTCTGCTAAAAGTCGAGGTAATCGGATGCTATACGACCATAATGGCGACCTCTAATTATGTTGTGGAACGATATATTTTATAAATATATCAGATTTAAACCGTCTGGGGAGGAGCCTGATTATTGCTCTGTTTTATACACCGGAGTTCTACATGAAGGTATTCAGTAACCATCACAGTATTGTGAAAATTACCGACGTCAAGGAAAACTAATATTTCAAACAGAGGTCATTATTTCTCGCTATAGTGTCTTATTCATCTATGATCTTTAGAGACTACGCACACCTCCCTAGCTGAACGCAAACAACACTCGTTATGTTTCCGTTTGATGGTTTTATCTTCCATCAGATGACTGGTGAATATGTGCACGTCCTCATTAAGGCCTTCTGAGACATTTATTTAAAACAAGACACGCTGTAAGAAGAATTATTTCAATCATAGCCTTCCGATAATGATAACGGTTCAAATCAACATGCTTGGGGTGGAAGGTGATAGCGTTGGAATTAGTCCTTTTATTCTGTGACGAGGAGTCGTATGATTGAAGAACTGGGATACCCCAACCGAACCAAAAGCATGTTTTGTCATGATGACCTGCTGGAATCGTGGACATCCCAGATGCAGCAAATTCGTCAGGACTAGGTAAGGTATTGGGGTGAGTTCACCTTAAAACGACGAAAAAAAAACTGATATCGACTAAAATGCTTATTAATTGGTGGTTTTTACTTTGTTCTGACCATAAAAAATATACTGCAAAGGGTTTATTCCCTTGGATATAAGACAAGTTCCAAAACCTGATTTAAGTTGCTGTTGAATTGAGACTGCTGTCCGCCCCCTCTCTAATAAAATACGTCCCGCGTAAACTGCGAGTGTTGCATGGGTGGCCTAAGGTCCGCCGCGGGAAAGCTGCAACGGTTGCTAGGGCTGGGCGTGAGAACAAGCTGCAGTTAGGTGCGAACAGCAACAACTAACGGCATGCTAGAATGAAATCTCATAATTACCCCAAGATTAGCAACAAAGGGACCCTTGGGCTTTCTCTGACTCGCAGACGTCACAAACCAGACCATTCTGAAATAAACATGCATCAGTTCGGTTCCTGCAGTCACCAGCTCTCTCTCTCTCTCTCTGAAATAGTCGCTACTCACGTAACCGTCTTGTTTATGACCATCGTCTAATCAGAGTCTTCACAGGTGGCGAGATCATGTTGCATCCCTGCACTACAAGAAACGTGTCAAAAACGGTTTTGAAAGATGACAGTCTGTGAATTATGGGCAAAACTGTGTCTCTGAGAGTATGTCGCATGCTGATGGGGCCTATAGAGAGCTCATACAATGGAAACATTTTCCCACGAAGCCCGTTGCCTCCGAATCAGACGTTGGATGGTCTACACATGCATTATATTTGTAAATGCCGACATTTATGCATGTGCTTTTGAATGTCGATGCGAATGACGAGGGGTGTTACTTCCTTGATGTCTTTTCCAACACCGGTTAGAGCTGCGCTCTTTAAACAACTGCTTAACGAAGCTACACATCTGATTGTTAAGTAAGCTTCAGCGGACCACTTCAGCGTTACAGCAGGTAGCGATGTATATTCCCCCGGTCACGAAAAACAATGACGCTGTCGGGCTCCGGGTCAAACTTCCTGACAAACGAGTAATGTTAAGATGGAATTAGCCAGTAATTCAGACAGGCGCGTGTGGCCTGCGTTCTGTGTTCCGAAAGGATTCGGCCTGTTGCGTTCTTAGGGAACGATAAAGAAAAAACATCGTCAACTGCATCTGTCGAGAATTCAGGCTGAGATGGCCCAACCGCGTGCAATCAGAAGTATCTCACCGAAGACGGCAAGCGAGACAAAAACTGGCATCTAGTGCACCGTTGACCAGGCGACCTTTAATCAGGCGATTTCGGCTCCTCAAATCGGCCTGCACTGTTATGGAATTTGTCGTGATTGGTTATAATGAGAATCATGCTACATTAGGCATTTAGCATTGGGTTGAATGAATCAGGCCCGATTCAAGTACAAGTACAAACGTTAAACGAAATAATAACGGGGTTATTTTGGCTATTAACTTCATGGGCCCCCAGATGCCCGCCTGCCTCGCAGCTATTAAGGAGCTTTAGTTAAGTAGCAGGGCTGTAGCGTAATTAAAGGGACGCTTTATTGCTTGCCGGGGCGTCTGGATTTCAGCCCAGCTCTGTCCATTTCCCCCTCGTGACACCTATCAAATGGTGTCAAAATAAGAATTGTTGCCATCATAACCCTTGGTTTGTTAGTCCTCCTTGTCTAGCCTCGCAGTCAAACTCAGTGGTGGATAGGGCTTTTTCGCACAAAACTAGGGTCCCTTACCCACTGCTGCGGCTCGAACACCGGTACAATCTTAGAGTTCAGATGTTGGAATTTCACGAACCTTCATCCCCAGGTACTCAGCCCACTGGGATTGGGAAACACATGCAGCCAAGCGTTGTCTCCCTTGAGCAAAGGAAATTAAATTTAGGGAACTCAGCAAAAGGCTAGACGTCCAGCTTTCCGCCCAAGAGAAGAGCTGACAATAAGTACTTACCGCATTATTTAATTAAGACCGCTTGCCGTCCCAGGGTCTTGAACGCAAGCGACCTCCTAAATTTGAAGGAGTTCCGGGTGAACGCACCGAGTAGTGTTTGGACACGCACGTCCTCCCTACAATACCTCGAGTGGTTCGAGAGTTTTGAGGTTATCTGAGTCCCACAGTATAATTGACATAGAGAGCTAACTGATCAGTGCAAAGTTGACCACTCTTCTATTTTCCATTGCAAGAGTCCGTTTGCGAACGGAAGCAGGAAAAATTAGCTGGTTCTCATAAGGTGAGGGTTTATTTACCAAAGCCGACCCCGGATTTTACTTTTATACTTCTGTAGGCGCCGGAACTTGAAATCCTAAAATATGCGGTCGCATAGAAATGATTTTGTCATACGGAAAATTTTAATCATTTGAAGGCTTATAGGGCTCAAGACTGAGAACACTAACTACTTCAGTATCATTCATTCATGAGAATGGGTTTCAAACCGTATGCATGTCCAATCACTCTTCCTAGAAATAGTTAGTGATCAGTTGACTTTTATGTTCATTCAGTACAAATACATATGTATTAACGTATACGGTGCTCATTGATTCTGTCTGCTAAGAATGTATCTTGCAGCAAGGAATTTTACGGAGCTATAGCAAAGACAAACGACGTTCGCAGATACTCTTTTTCCCAGCTAGTCGTCGGTGCCTGGAACGAGCTTCCTGAGGACGTGATAAGGGCGGACTCCATGGAGACATTTAAGCAAAGACTAGATGCGTATTTGCTTGGAAAATACCGCTTATCTGGACAGCACAGCTCTGCGGTGCAAACCAGCGCCTTGCATACACCTACCGCTAATGCGGATGATTGTAATTTCATTTTACCGATATCATCTACAACTGAATGTTCTCGAGTTTCGGTTCTGCATTTCCGAAGGAAAATGTTATGTTAAG